ATCGCGGTAAAAGATAAACCTAGAGCTACTCAGAACGCATGTTTTGCAGGGGTGAAACCTGCACAAAGATGTTGTTATGGAAGGGGAGGGAGGGGAATACTGTAAACTTCGGTGAACACCTGTACACAATCCATTTTCAAATCGCTTTTTGTAGATATTGGCACACTCCTTCCCCAACTCCTCTTGAGCTTATGCAAATATTCTCAGTACCCCACATACAATCACTTCTTTCAAGCTTTCTGGGCGCAGTTAACCTAATGGGGGAGGGAGGGTAACGGGGCTCAAAAAAACCCCTTATGCAAAACCGCAATTCGCACAGTGGACAAGGGAACTTGACTTAGCTAAAGTGGAGGAGCTGCGGATGAACCGAATCGAATCAACCACTCAAAAGCAAGGGACAACATTGCTGTAGGCGGTAACTGCCAACATCACTGGTGGAAGGGCTGCGTGAGGATGTTTGGCCACACCCCACCGCCAAGAGCGTTGGCGAAAACCGCCCACCCTCAGCAATCCTGGCCTTCATAGGACAGTACTTTGATTTGGATAACGTTGATCCTATTCACAGGGTAAATTCCAATGACCACCAAGGGCTCCTACCTGCAATAAATGCTATAAAGCACGAAAGAAAAAAAACGAAGGGGATAGATTGAAGAAGACAATTTCGTAGTACAACGGAGGTTTCATGCCTCCAAAAATTAGCCTTACGTCGACAGTAATCAATTAAATGCCCTCCTAAAGCCGGACCACGTCGTCATCCCAGTGAAAACACAAAACACAACCTACCCCAAGATCTTTGTGCTGTATTATGAAAATTGTAGCTAACCTCATCGATCAAATGTTGTGACTGTTCAGCAACACGATTGAATATCAAGAATTGGGCTCGATATTGCTGTGCGTCATTGCCGGTAATCGTAACGAGGCGTTCGCCATCCTTTAAAAAGAACTCAATTACAGATACAAATGACGCCAGCAGTCATGAATGTCGATGAAGGACAGGTTAAAGTTCTCACATCATTCCGCCTCTCTTCCGCTGGCGGTGCTTCTGTGTGCGCTTTTTCTTCTCCTTCGCCATGCGATTGAGCGTCACCGGCACCTTCTTCCTTCTTTTCTGGTTCTTCTTTCCGTTCAGCATCTTTGCGCTCTCCGCCTCCTTCTATTCGCACATTTGCACCCGAATTTCGAATAATATTGCGTATGTTACCACCCTGACGAACAATTTCGCTTCATTCATTTCATTGGCATAGAGTAATTGAAAACAACTGACCTTACTGCCGATAATAGCTCCAACCATGGAATTAGGAACCCACATCCGAGTGGTTTTAGAAACATCTACGCGTCCACCAACGCCACACATTGGTCCACCAATAGGACGCATTGTAGAAGCCGCCAATGCCGCGTAAGCATCACCAATCGGGTGAATCATGCCAGGCATTGCGGGAATACCGGTAAAGGACATCTGTAAAAAATACATGCTTTAAGAAAGCAAACAGTATCAACTAATAGAAAGCAAAATGGGAACAAACTGAACTGTAGCCGCTCAAAACAGGAAAATCAAGCCGAAAATATCTAAGCTAATACAAATTTCCCATGCATAATCCCGTTTCCACAACGCTACATGTGGTTTTAAAAGCAGGGTCAGAATTAGGTTAGAGAAGACACATCCCTTCCCTATACAGGTATTTGGACCGTAACTCCAGAAAAGGGTCTCTAATTTACGTGTAACAGTGAGCGACGAGGGCGCCGCCGTCATTAGGCGTTACGCCCTTTCTCGAAGCAAACCCACCGCTGCGAGGCTGATAAGGGGATCGCCTAGGTCATAAGCGTTTCCTCAGAAGGTTTTCGTACGTAGAAGTCGTTTTGAAAAAATGGTCAATGTCCTGAAAGAAGCCTTTCCCTCCTGGACCACATACAGCGATCCTGTATCTTCATAAACTGATATACAAATCAAGTTTATATCTGTATGATTCCATGGCCCGTCGTTTTGCTCGCCTTCCCATTTTTATATTGTATCTGGTCTTTCGCAGAACAGCCCCGCTTTCAATGCTAGACAATACCGGGGTCTTGCATAGGGCGTTTTAACAACTTTGTTCGCGTTTTTCTTCACTGGTATGTCATGACTTGTGGGTAATCATATTTTTCAAAGAAGAAAAGCACTGACTCTGTGCTGGAGATCTGTCTCGTAACTTTGTCGTAACCTAGCAGAGATCTTTTGTTCAGCGGCAGACACCTGGAATATGGAAAATATAAGAACTCCTGGTCAACCCATGGTATCGAAACGCTCACTAAACCTACCACTTCTATACTTGGCCCTTTCACAGTAATCGTACGCTCCATCGTAAGAACTGCATCGGGAAAGGGCGGCATCAAACCACCCATGGAAGAGAGTTCAGCGGCTCGTGACGCTTGTTCGCTGAAATCCCCCTGTTGTAACAATACTCTATGAAAATGCGAATGGAAGGACTAGCCGAACAACTTCCAAAAAAAGACAGATAGCTCCGGAAAGGGTAAACCGGAAATTAAGTCTTGGAAAGGAACTTCACACTTAACTAGCTCCACACATTTTCGAGACGGTGGTTTTGATAATTCTATTACAGTTCCCAAAAGTCTAGTTTCAATGAAAAAAAGCCCAAATGGAATATCAATATAAAGAGGCCAAGACACACTTTGAAACGAAGATCGTTGTCCCAGTGTCCTGCATAATTCTCTTGATAGTTGCGCCTTGCTTTCCAATCAGACGTCCCACAAGCTGATTATGAGCTCTGATTTTCAGTTCAACTTCACTGTTGCTGAAAACGAAGATATTACGATCGATCAAATTCACTAAACAGGAATGAAAAGGAGATTATTCTGGTACGGCGGAAGTTTCCCCAGCAGGTCATCTGACCTCCGTGGGTGCGTGTTCGGGTGATTACCGGAGTATCCCTGTGGTACAGACGATGCTGCACAGTTTTTCAAAAATTAATATGATAGCTTCATCATCTTTGAGCTACACCTGCGCTGTGGAATCCCAGCTAGGAGGAGGGTCGTACACAAATGCTTGATGGGAGGGGTGAGGGGTTCTTGTTGGTTTCCTTGACGGTAAACTTTGGGTTGGACAACGTTCGATTACAATCAGTGCTGGAACTACTACACTACACCGGGACTACTTTCCGACCATGGAGAGAGGGAGGTGGAGAGTCATAGTGAGATTTGCCCTGGTGGCACGGCGCGAATTTGGTTCATTGGCATCCGTTGGAATACGGTTATTCAGAATTAGTATCAAATGGAATGACCCAAAAGGCTGAAGGACACACAATGGCGCGGATCGGTTTGGGAAGACCTGTAAAGCCCTGTGACCAAAGCGGCCTACCTGTACCATTTCGCAGGTTCACAAAAGTTAACATGTCTCACCAAAGAACCTGTTATTGAACATGAACTAAGAAAGGGACTAGAGAAAGTGCAAGATGCCCCTCCCGCACCGAACAGCGCTCACACGTCGGTTAAAGTCTGAAGGACGCAGAGACTTGATCTGTTATGTTCAGCGCCCTTACAGAGCATACACTCCGCGCTCTGTGATGGTAGCCTAACCGGGAGACTTATTTCACCAGACTATTTCAATGCTTCGACAAAATAACTCACTCCCTAGTTTCGTCTTTTTCATTTTCACGCTGAACAACTTCTAGAATTTTGACACATGCTTTTGAGCAATTCTCCAAGTGGCCAAGTATTGAGATTATCTGCAATGGTGGCGATCATTAGATCTACGATCTTGGTTGAAAGTGATTGGGAAACTCACTTTCTCACTGTGTCCCTGTTGATCTTTAACTGTGCGTTGCACGTCAACAACAACGCGGGCTTTCGATTCTTTTGTGATTTCTCTAACATTATTGCCGCCCGTTCCAATAATCGCACCAACGTGTTTTGAGTCGATTACTATACGAAGAGGTAATTCCTACAACAAATCATCAATAAAAAATTCTTGAAATCTGTTTTTGTTTCATTATTGCATAGAGCTTGTTGGGTGGAACTCTTTATGATTTTGGCCTGACGTTCCGACTAAATCGCCGTGCTCAGAGGTCCAAAGACTCAATGTTCAGATGTTGCAGCCTCTACACCACCAAACGCCTCGACCCCTGTGTTACAGGACCACGAAAACTACCGAAAAACACAAATGGGAGAAACGAACTCACCAGTCCATCATGAGCGGAACGACGCCACTCGAGCTGTTAGCTGTAGTTGGTAAATGAGACAAACTGTGCCGCTAATGAATACAATGGGATGTATTGTAAAACAGCACAGAATGTCTTATTTACTGATTACAGCAGGCATCGAGTGGCGTCGTTCCACATATATGGCGGTGGACTGGTAAGTTCGTTTCTCCCATTCGGGTTTTTCGGCGTTCTCCTGATATTTCCTCAAATCACTAGGAAGTAAAGGCGTTGCAGTGTAGAGAGTGCAACATCCAAACCTCAGGCCATATTTAGGCCTCTGTGGACGACGAAACATCAGGCCGAAATCAATCAAGGATTCCATCTAACAAACTCTCTGCAACAATGAAAAAAAACTGCAAAGTTTACAGTAATGCAGAGGTTTTATCAAGACAAAAGTTGGACACTAGTCATCTAGCTTTCTAACAGCATTTCTCACTACTACAATAACAGCAACGAAAACTGTACACAATCAACCTACCTGTTGTGGCGACAGACGCATATGTGGTGCATTTTGAATTGATGTGGCTGAATCGACAGGCGGCGGCCCCCCGCGCTGCGAAACTCCGCGTCTCGGTTGAACACCCTGTCCCATCACACCGCCTTGTTGGTGCTGACTGTGATTATGCGAGCCAGAGATACCCGACTGTTGTGTAGCACCTGAAGAAGAGCTTGTCAACCAGAATCAATGGTAATTCTGAACTCAAAATCATTAAATTTTTGAATATACAGTTAAGCGCTTTCTAAAAAACGGCGTGCACAACAGTGCCACTTCCGAGTCAAAATGAGTCATCAATATTGAATGGTAATATGTCAAACGTATAGGACCGAGTGCAGTTTGCACACTGTTTGTTCAATGAAAGGCCAAAGTAGACATTTTCAAATGGAAATTAATGCAGAATAGATTAGAAATAATTCATGTGAAAACTTGTGAAGTTTTGCGAAACCACGATGTGTTACCTCACAGTTTGAATGAAAGTTGTGAACCGAAACTAGTGTATAATTTATTTCTAATCTATTCTGTAATTAATTGCAGATAGATAGAAATAATTCATGTGAAAACTTGTGAAGTTTTGCGAAACCACGATGTGTTACCTCACAGTTTGAATGAAAGTTGTGAACCGAAACTAGTGTAATAGAGGAAATGAAAAAGCCCATATCGACGACAGAACAAAATAACCACTGACGAGGGTTGTTTTAAGGATCCCCCCGACCTACCCAAAGATATGTTTTTTTATATTTCCTTCAGTTATAAATGCACTTTTGATTCGCATCACGATTCACATGACGTACAAGGCGAAGAATTTGAATAATGCGTCCGCGAGGGCGACGCCCAATTCCCAGACTCCGTTTGCACCTAATTCTATGATACGTTAAGTTTCATTGCAAATTTGGACCCATTTCTTCTTTCCAAAAACTTCAGGTTCTAGTCAAACGAGAATCAAGATTTCAAAAGCAGGTTAGGCTACAAACAGAGAGGGAGGAACACAGAATTGTGACTCCCACTCTGCCCTGCACTTCGGTAGGATCAGTTCACCGGACCACACCACAACTTCAACGCACAGAATTCCTTACCAGGTAACGCTGCTATTTCCCCCTATCAAAGGGTTTGAACCCGCACCTTACCAGGGGAGGCCAAATTTTTGTTCCCTCCTTGCAAAAGAGGGAAGGAGAACACACCCAGCTGGGTTCGCATCAAAGTTTAGCATCGCCCAGGGAAACACGAGTATACATGGTCTATCGTTGTTTCCTGAAAAGTGTCTCTATAGGCGAAAAGAATTCCTTTTGATTTTGCCTTTACCCGTCAACGGTCAGGTCGAAGCCATACAGAGCAACACGTACCGTACGAGCTCAAAAAATTTTTCATAGTGGTTCCTGGCCTACAGTTTGTTTCAGCCAGATGCAAATGCTTTATAGAGTTGGATCATTCATTTGTAGGTTCCTAGAGGGGGTCACTCTGATAGTGGATGGTATCGGCCATCCATCGGCGCAGTTCAGTCTGCGAGGGACATATGGCTCTTACGCTAGTCCCGCTAGTCCCCTTAGCTCGTTCATGTTTGCTAAAAGGTCTCATTAGGTGAAACCTGTGAACTCATGTGAAGCAGCTAGTCGCCAAAGTGAGCCACTTTGGCAACACGAACAGACCTCCACAAGATTACAGACCTTCACACAGCTTTGGTCAGATTACCATTTACCCCCCCCTCCCACCCCCGAGCCAAACAGCGCCCATACACCTTTCCAAACAACGTCGCTATGGTCTATGAACATTTTCCCTCATCAATCAAAAAAGTTTATTTCAAGCGTCCTGGATCGCCACACCACAGACAACGGTTCAAAGGATTCTGGAGATGCCGGGGCAGAGACCGTCAGGCGAAGACAGTGTCCACATTACTCATTTAACCTTTCATTCCCTACGAATCAAAGTGTCTTCATGCCACCTCCCCCACCCCCCTCACAAATAGGAAAAAGTAGACAGGTGCGAACAGCGTATTCCCAACTCCATGAGCTCACTTTGGCAGTTATAATAATTCAATGAGGCTAGTTGAGGTTGAGGTCGCACCACCGCTCCGAATATGACATTCACTCTCAGCCAGTGTCGCTAACACTTTTTGACCAAACTCTGATTTTGGGATAATCGAGAATTCCGACCACGAGTACCTCGGAACCATCTTTGACGCTCATGCCTTTTAGCGCCAGTCTGGGACCGAGTCCGAAAAATGGGAGTCACATCTGTGATCGTGGATCCAGTTACAGTTGATCAGATTATACCATGTTCCCTGCGTTCTGCATGGTGTAATCTGATCGGCTAAGCCTGAGCAGACGTATCACTCATTTTTCCAGCAAGAACGCCGAGTAAAGCCGACGTCGAGGACGATGTCGTATTCGTGATCATGACCCTCGATTATCCTCCCCTCTAAAATGCATTGTGATTTTCGTAGAAGATGCCGTGGCGCCAAATTATTATGGCCCGATAGGCGATTCAACCCCCGGACCGCTCACGTGGTAGGCTTGCCAACTTTTGTCAGCAGTAAAATAATAATTATTAATGCCAGAATTAATATCCAGCGAAAAAGAATGTAAAGGAACAATGTTTGCTAGAATCAGTCGGCTCGGTTGAAAATTTGTACAGCAACGGCGAAAGAACTAAAAATGTGATGCAGACGCAATGTATCCTACTACTTTACAACTTTTGGCAATCATTCATGCCGGAGAACCTAGAGAACGTCAAAGGACACAAAATGCAGCTATAAAAGTTTTTTGCAGTGAATTCTTCCAAAAAAATTTTTAGCTGTGCAAAATAACCGAATAATTTACAAGATGCTAAGGAGGGAGACTTCTTCAAACGGTCAAAGAGGAGGACACCTTAGAAGAAACACTGGAAAACGAAACGACAAACTAAAGCTCTGAACTGCTCCTTTCACAAAACGACAAGAGAAACGACGAACCCATGCTGTGTCCGTAATCCATGTTTGTGGTGGCTGACGCAGCTTGTATAGGAAACTGATAACTTGGAGGTTGTTGAGGTTGGTGTCCTATTGGTTGTTGCTGATAATACATTTGAGATGAAGTAGCTCCGGCCTGAAGATGATTTTTTAGAACGATGGCAAGCCATTATCAATGATTTCATCAGTTAGGAATTTGCTATCCCGACGTTTCACTCCAATATGATTGTTCATAAAACAGTGACGTTTCGAAAGCCTTCTGCAACAGAAGGCACAGTGCGTTTTTAACCAACGATACCCAATCGATAAACGACTAGGGAAGTATAGGTATCGATGTAGCGTTCTTGAGCGTCCTCCAGCGTTTCCAGCGATGATCGATACCCATACTTTCTAAGACGCTCAGATCGCTCAAAGGTAGGCGCTCAAAACGCTAGATCGATACCCATGCTTTCCTAGTCACTCAAAATGCCCGAAACGCTGATGCAAACTATGAACGCATTACAGCAAAACGGTAGGCTGTTAATTGAAGCGAATAAACTAGAGCAATCCCTAGAAACAAGCAGAAATATAAGGATGCGCAAAAGAAGTAAATAAACGCAGAAATACTTTGAACACATGACATTTCAGATTGTAAGTGGTATTCTCAAGGGTTTCTGGAAGAATCAATACGCTCGAGATGAGCCAAAGAAAAAAAGGTGCTGTGTAGCATGATGCGGCATTAGAGGAACTACGGTGCTCACAACCCCACAAGTACCTTTACGAGGCTTGGAGCTTTGCTTTGACACCTTTTCTGGGACATTTTCTACGCTAGCACCAAGAAACGACTGCGACCCAATAGATGAGAACTTTCGTCTAAGTCAGTGAGGAAGAAGGTCGAGGCTGGACAAACCATTCCACCCAAGTGCTAAGCCCCTTCTACCGCTGGGCTCAGGTAAAATGCGTTTCTCAACCCTATATAGTACACTAAAAAACGTTAGTTGTTTCATTACGATAATTGCTATTTAAAGTAGCACCGCGCCCAGAAAGTTATCACAAGAATGGCGAGTTATGGCAAAAGTTAGATCCTTGGCGGGACTTGAACCCCACCTTTCGCTATTGCCCTTTCAGGTTTAGGGCTTTTGTGCGTAGCCTCACAGCACTCATATGTTTGAAATGACAAAAAGGTTAGAAATTATCATAAGTTATGGACAAAAGTCTTGACCCCGAACCGGAAACTGTGAGGAGAGGTTTGGAGTCTTGCCTGGGGTGAAGACTTTTGCCCATAACACATTATCCTTTTGATAACATCGGAGCGCGAACTACTACAGCAGTTACCGTAACCGAACAACTTCAAAAAAATTGCTAGTGATTTTCAAAGCATTGGATGCTCTGCATCAAAATGCCCCACATTCCTACACCAGCACGGAAATAAAAATAAAAGAAATCATTCGGAAAAAAACCAAGAAAGTTTATCAAAAAAAACTACCTGCGCTGAGTATGGTACATACTGATGAGTAGGTTGAGCAGCGGACGCCTGTGGTCGAGCCTGCTGATAGTAATCCATGAGTGAAACGGGAGGAACTAAATATACCTGCAGACCAAAACCACTCGGTGCCTAGGAAATGCGTCCCACCTGAAAAAAAGCAGAACTGGTTCGCAAAAATTGTGCATAAAACAATAACCAAACAAACAAATATAACGGTACGGAGCAATGGAAATGGAAACGCAAGTATAGGTGGAGATAAATACGCTATTAGGTTGAGGAATAATCCCGTACTGTTTTGAATTTTTTTACAAACTTTGCTTTTTTAAGTAAATTTATATGATCCATTCTTTAAAGTTTTTTACTGCTCTATAAAACAGCGCTAATCGTCTTTACTTATACTGCATTTTTTATTAATTTTTAGGAGCCGAATCGGAATATGCTGGAGGGAAAAAGCAACATTTCCGACACCTGCCCCTCTTCGATTTTCATCGAGGCCAAAAAGCAGCCAAAGCAGCTCGGGCATTAGCAAGGTATAGGTAAGAGTCTATAGCACTGAAATGGTTTTTCAAGTTTATAAATGGCAAATTTGATCTCATTATCCGCGTTTGGTTGGACTGGGAATGCATCTGCACAGGAAATTGCTCGAGAAAAAAGCCACTGTTGACAAGGAGCTTTACATAGTCCAGC